AGCGCAGCTCAAGCGCAGTCGCTGCTTATTGCGCAGTTGGCAGAGCGCGTGCTTATAAGTGCATGTGTATGTATGTGTGCATAAAAGAAGTCCAGAATGATTAGAATATCARYTTRSAGGGTTCAGGGTATCTCCTAGTCGAGCAGTCTCGACTGGAGCCTTCTTACTTGTTTTTTATTGCAGTTTTGTGCCTTGCAGCACAACATGAAAAAAATTTGAGAGAAACGAGCCGAACTCAGAGCCTATTTGACATTTTTGCCAGCAATTTCCACAGAAAGAGCAGCAACAGCAGCAGCGAAAACAACAACAACAACAACAATTATTCCAATTAGCTGGCATTACAGGTTGATTACGACTCTGGCATTATTCTTCTAATTGTTGGAACTGAGTGGAAGGAATTACTAGCAGTGCTTGCAATGGGCGGCAACTAATCAGAGATCAGAGCTAGTTTATAGCTCACCTGACTCTTAAACTGAGCAAACAAATTGCTGTGCTACACGTAGGTGTTGCTTTCGATGGGATTCCATATGGTCTCAGTTGAGGTTCGCACTAAGCACACATCGCGGATCACACGAGTCGACCGATCTTAGTCGATCTTTAGCAAAGATCAAATGTCAGCTGCCAGTCTGACTGTCTGTCTGACTGACTGACTGATCGAATGTGGAAACAAAGTCAAGAGCACACGCGCCAAAATTTCAAATTTGAAATTTGAGATCGGAGATGCAATCACGTTCGATCGCTGATCGGTCCATCCACAAGACTAAACTGGCATAAATTATATATTTATTACGGCACGGCACTTAACACTTAATGCCTATCTCGGTTAATGCACAATTGCAAATTGCGAATTGCACCTCAAGAGACGCACGTCTTCGTCTTCGCCTTCTATCTCAACTTTGTATCTCCGTGTCTTTGATGTCGTCGTCGTCGTTTGAAGTTGGCTTTGCCGCTGTATCGACCGTACCGCACAATGTCTCGTACAGAACTGATGGCTGCGAGTGCATTCGACTTGGCTTAAAATTCACATTAGGCCGCTGGCAAAGTCCGCCCGCTAGACGCCGCACAAAAGAAGCGCCAAGCGATCGTCATCAACGCCGACACAGTGCACAGTGGCGCAAACCTGTTCAAAATTGCTGAAATCGCAGTTGAAGGCTTTAGTGGAATTTACTTAATAGCTTATAAATATTTCATTTGCTTTATTTTTAAATTAAACTATAAAATCAAATAATTGTGATAATTAAAAAAAAA